ACGGTGTCTTGCGTCTTGTGATGTGGTATGGGCGGGTTTCTTTATCCTGAGGGTAATGGAGCACAGCATCCGTCCCCCCACCTCTTGTTTCTGAGTAGCGTCCTTGCGTGCAGGGTGGGAGCAACTTCAGCCGACAGAGCAATCTGTTCAAGGGCGTGAGCTCGAAGTTCGGGCCATCCCCGAGGCTCGATGAGGGAAGGTTGCGAGAGGCCGCCATGGGCTACTTTGCGCTGAAGCAGAAGCACGAGGAGCCGCGCTGTTGTTCCCTCTGCGGGCCTCGTCCCGAGTATCTGATATGCGACGGGCTCTTTGGGTTGGCGAACAAGGACGGCAGCGAGCGCAAGGGGGGCATTGCTTCCACTACGCAGAACAAGCGAGCCACTTTCACTCATCCGGACAAGAGGAAAGGCACGTCGGGAAACGACGTGCCCTTCCAGAAGACGCGAACCGCGGGCGTGCACTATTCGGGGGTCAGCCCGGTGAGTCACAATGCAACGCTTCCTGGTCGTTTCGGTCGACAGTCGATCGAATGCCCGTCTTTACGATACTCGCTGCCTACTCTGGAAGCAGACTGCCCGCTAACGACGCGAGGCGGGGTCGAAAGAGCGCTCGCGCTCTGGGACGGTCCTTTGTTTGGGAGAATCTCGCCCGACATGTCGCATGATGCATCTCCCGCGTTTTACAGGGCGGCCTGTACGTAGTGAGGCGGGTGGTTCCGGAGCCCAACCTTCGGATGCTGCTGGCGCGCTTGAGCCAGCATCGGCCGTCCGCTCAGCACGACCCCGATGAGGGGCCGAACAATCCTCCTACAAGGGGTCGGCCTTTAGACGTGAACGACTACTACGGTGTGCTGCTGGGGGGTCTGACGGCGAAGGGGCACGTTGCGATGCGACGGTTGGTCGAGGGGATCGAGGCCGAGGCAGAAGTGGGGCATTCGCCCGGGAGAATCTTGATCGAATTCCCCGAGCGGTGGAAAGAGATCATGTACGATCTCAACAGCCACGACGAGGACTGTAAGATCCTGCAGACGAAAAGCGCCCTCAGGGTGGCTAGACGGATCCTGCTCGGCGAGTTGGTCACCGAGCAGGATCGGCTGGATTGGGGGGAAGACAGCCCGATCCTGCGCCGGCTCCTCGATTCGTACGAGGGACGGTTGCCGTGGTTCTTCATGGGCGTGTTGAAGGTGCTGTACAGGTCGAGCATTTATGGGAGAGGGGGCATTGCGTATCCCAAGTGGACCGGAGAGGCGTGGCGGATCTTCCATGACGCGTCGTGGTGGTGTGGCCACCCGAACCCACCCCCCCCAGATCCCGAGAAAATAGCGGCGGCGCATAAGGCGATGGAGGCGCTCGAACTTTTGTCCCTCGATGCGGAGCTGCTGGGCGACGCCGAGCGGGCGCTGCTCTCGGAGAATTTGGGGATGACGGGGCCGCCGCTGAATGAGTTCACTTCGGACGGGGAGGACCTGTGCTGGTACCCGTTTTGGGAGAAGAAGCGGCCGCTGCCTTTCTACCCGGAATTCGAGAAGGAGAGCGGAATTTCTAGGACGGCCGAGGCTCGGTGTGCGGGGAACGCGTCTGCGGACAATCAGCAGAAAAAGCTGCCTCACACCCGCGGGCTATACGTGTGGTGCTGCCCGCATCGAGTACTCTACGGCATCCACATCATGCTGCGGGGAGAGAGCCCCAGGGATCCGTTCGCGGTGCTGTACACCCGCTTCAACCGAGACGAGCTGCCGCGGGTGCTGATCAACGACTGCTCCTGTTCGGATCAGAATTACTGCTTCAGGAGGGAGCCCACGTTCTTTTCGAACGTCCGCTTCGTCATCGACAAGTTCCACTATGGAAAAGCGGAGGGAGAGATCCACCTCTGCGGGCCCACGAACAGCAGTCATTACTACAGTCTGCTGACCCATGTGAACACGAGCGCTTGTGAGAGCGTGAACAATTTCCTCAACCGCTTCACCACGATCGGGTGGTTTTCGAAGCTGGAGAACATGATGATTCTTCTGCCCTTACTGATAACCGCTTACAACGCGGATTTGAGTAGAGTAGACGATCACACGATCAGGACAGCGTGTAGACGTAGCGTATGGACTTCCGACATTAGAGACTTGGTGTTTCTGCAATACTAATTGGAGAGAACTATTGCTACAAGAGGAAGCATGTACATATGTATAAGAGCATGATGACGTACGACAATTCAGTCAGCGGACAGATATGGAGGCACACCCGCTTCGTTAACCCGCCCTTGTATCACCGACGGATCCGGCACTCCTGACGCGATGTTAGCCGTTGCTTGTGCTGCGACAACCAGGTCGTCGCGATCTCCCGGCCGTCTCGCCAACCGGCGCGGGGAGCCTCATCTGAGCGATTTACGCAGACATCTGAGCCCGTTCCCGGAGCGTCTTCCTACTGGTCTTCGTGCGCACGTCCCGCTGGTCCCCCGGCGTATCCATTAGCGCCCCGCACAAGGCCGGTAGAGGACTCCTCCGCCGCCATCAGCCTCGTCGCTTGGACCGCGTGTCCGAGCCTTCGTTCTGGGAAGAGCAACATCCTGTCCGGATGCGAGGGCGCGAGGGCGCCTATCATCACACTATAGCAAGGGCGCCTATCATCACACTATGGCAAGTCGTCGCGAAGACGACGAGATCATCGAACAAGACGGGCATGCTCAGTAGCAGTATGACTGTGCAATACAAGTCAGAAGATGCGCTAGGAAGCATTGTGGGCAAACGGCAGGGTCGGTATCCCTAATGTCCCCTCACGAGAAGCTTCGGTATGATGACGTGGCAGTGCGGAGGGAATCTGTCTTGGTCGGGCACTCGCGCAAATTGGTATCCCTAGTGACTTGGCTAGTAGACGCATTAAATAATGTGTCTTACGGAGGATCTTGGAGTCTGATTTCCCTAGTGATTCTCTTAGTCAAGACATTAAGACAGTAAGACAGTAAGACGCATTTTTGGGAGAGTTCCCCAGAATCCGATGAACGATCTAGATCCGCCACGATCTCGAGAATCTCAGGAACTTTCCCCAAAAAATGCGTCTTACTGTCTTGTGTCTTGTGGCGATTCTGACTAGGGAATCCGCTAGGGTAAGATCCTTTAAGAAGCCTTCACAAGACATATTATCTAGTGTGTCTTGTGAGGTTTGACTAGGGTTTTCGCTAGGAGTTTCTCCCTTAAGTGCCCCTTGAAGCTTCGGGATGCTGACGTGGCAGTTCGGAGGGAATGTGTCTTGGTCGGGCACTCGCGCAAATTGGTATCCCTAGTGGATTGGCCAATAAGACACATTTAAAAATGTGTCTTATGGAGGATCTTGGAGTCTGATTTCCCTAGTGATTCTCTTAGTCAAAACAGTAAGACAGTAAGACGCATTTTTGGGAGAGTTCCCCAGAATCCGATGAACGATCTTGATCCGCCACGATCTCGGGAATCTCAGGAACTTTCCCCAAAAAATGCGTCTTACTGTCTTGTGTCTTGTGGCGATTCTGAGGAGGGAATCCGCTAGGGTAAGATCCTTTAAGAAGCCTTCACAAGACGCATTATCTAGTGTGTCTTGTGGGTTTTGACTAGGGTGTTCGCTAGGAGTTTCTCTCTTAAGTGACCCTAGAAGCTTCGGGATGCTGACGTAGCAGTTCGGAGAAGATGTCTCTTGATCGGGCACTCGCGGGATCGGTATTCCACTACATGTAATAATGTCAATCACATTTTGTTCGTGTTCACTGCACGTGGTCATGCTGTCATTCATGACCACTGGATGAACATCTGACGATAATAGCAACACAGTGGGTCCACAATTTCGGGTTTGCGGATGAATCGATTGTTCTCATCAAGGATGTCTTGGTCACTCTGCTCTCATCACACAGCTGCTCTTGTGCTCGGGCCAGTGGTCTTTCTGACATTCCTTGCTGCAGTACGCGACTCTTCTGCACCGGGAGCACGACCACAGCGATCCGAAACGAGCACTATCTTCCTCCTCTGACGCCTTCCTAGCCTCGCTGCAAGAGGCACACACGAGCCGTGCTACGGTCAAACCCGCTAACATTCTCGGACACAAGTCCCTGTCCCTCGGTGTACCGATCTCCATCAGAGTCTGATTCAAGATCTTTCTCAGGCTCCTCGTCAGTGCTTTGTTCGGCCTGGTCGACCCGTCTTCGAGGCTGAACAAGGTTTCCATGATCAGTTTTACCCTTCTGTCTTTCTTTCTCCAAGATGACAGGCAGTCCGTTGCGAGGGCTTCATCCCGGAGGATGGTCCTGCTAACCATCCCTAGGTAGTAGCAGTATACTGCCTCGTCATTCTCCTCTCTGAACCACTTTCTGATCTCGCTGAACAGTAGATGCGTGTTCTGAGTCATACACTGTCGGAGTGCGTCTACTTGATTTGGTGCCAGTGTGTTGTCCCAGTGATTCATCAGTACGCAGATGACAGCTTGCGAGGCGAGACGCGCACACTCTGCCAATTGCACCTCGATGCTCGTCGAGTCGATCTTCGACTTTCTCAACATCCGGAGGATGTACAGGAGGGCATCGGGACCCCGCTCATTGTCGAGCAGTTGTCGTACGGTGACGGCCGCTCGGTTCAGGACGCGCAAACGCTTGGAGGAGTCCATCGGCCGACGCCCCGGAAGTGATTTTTGAAAGAATGAATGGGTTCATCGAGCCTTATGTATCACTCGCCGGCCTTGGGCACGTGCCCTGCTTCTATTCCTGGATACCTATCCCAAAAAGTGTCAAAATCGTGCAGATCTGCTGCCAGACGAACGAGGTGGGCTGCCCCACAACGCGTTCGAGTTTAGCAATTGCTGCTGCTGGGAACATTTTCTCAAGTTTCGGACCTGATCATAAGCAGTATGAGCAACACTGTTCCCTACTGGAGAAGAGAGTCGTTGCAAAGCTTCTGAATGCCACGGCGGAATAAGTGCATCACACTGACCGCGTGAGGAATCGAACCTCAGCTGCTGTAGGAGCAGAACCGTCTTCTCGCGGTCGGGGGAGGTGCCAACTCCAGCAGAAACACGAAAGGCACTGGACCAAAAAACACCAGAATAAAAAAAC